ATTGGACAAAAATCTTATACCTGTGGATGAAGACAGTGGCAGGGGGTAAGGGCATGAGGCGGGGAATCAAGAGGAGGGGAGTTATAGGGGGGGAGGGGAAGGAACACCTGTAATAATCTTAACATTAAAGATTTATTATATAAAAAAAGACATTTTGGTATTATTAGGGAAATTTGCTTCTGTACTATATATTAGATTCTTGGTGTTTTTTTCTTTTTTTCTTTATCGATTAAGGTATTACATATGTGTTCTTATCTTCCCATTGCCCTCTCATCCCCCACTCGTGCCCCCTGGTGTCTGTATCCATTGGTTAGGCTTATATGCATGTAAGTCCTTGACTCAAGGAGGGAGCAGAAAGGGCTGGGGAAGATGGGGCTGTGACTTGTGTCCTGTTGGCAGCTGGACACCAACAGCAGCCTTGTGAGCAATGGCATGGCCAGTGTTCATGCACAGAAGGCTGGTAAGTGGATGAGCTGTCACTTCTGCTGAACATGCTGGCTCCCCTTAGATTCTGTTTTGTATCAATGCTAAATTTGTTGTGTATGATAATGGCATTTTGGTTATATAGGAGTCAGACTTGAGAGAAGTGAGGTGTGGATGGTCTAGTAGAGTGATAGTATGGACTAGGACGAGGCTTGAGGACCACCATGGCTTCATTAGAGAAAATGTTAGACCCAGCATGTCTAGGGTTGGGAGGGAAGGAGTCTGTGTCCTCCCTCCTCCAAGCACGTATGTGCACTGGGTTTTCTGATACCAGCATAACTGAGTGGCAGGAAAAGGAGACAAGAGTGAAGGCCTCAGTTCTCAGTTTCAGGGAAATTTTATTCTACATTCATTTTTGTTCTCTAACGCCAGGTTCAGGCTTCTGCAAAGACTGGGAGTTTCCTAAATGCTTCTGACAGACTGGCAGAGCAACGATACAGGCAGCCAAAATGTGAACAGGCTCCCCAATTGTTCTGGGGACTTGCTGTTCTCTAGCCCTGTACCCTGAGGGGCCCTGGAGGCTGGATGTGCAGGCCTGGTATTATACGCATTGACAGAAATAGACTTCCAGACATGGAAAAGCAAGGCGCACAAAGGGAGATACATGCCCGGCTATCTGGGTGTGTACCCCTAGATGCATTTTTGCCCCTAAAGTAGAGATTGGATATTTCTGACTCTTCTACAAAGCTGAACTTGGACAAAACTGCATGTAAACAAATTTGTTTCTCCAAATCAGTCTTTCATTATTTCACAATTAGATTGGGATTTATTGGTTTCTAGAATTAGATTAAAGCAGTTGGTAGGCAATGAGTCTTATTAAAATGATATCTGGCAAAAGAAAGGCTCTAGTTGGTTTGAACTTCAAATGATTCAAAATATAATATTCACATCTTCTCTCTGACCTCCCCTTTCTAATCCTATTGAATTTTGCCTGAGTTTTATATAAGATTTATTTGTCCTGACCAGAAGGTTAATAGACTAAAATGAAATTACTACCCTTAAAATATATGGCTCTGATGGGGATTAAAGCTTGTTTTCTTCCTTGGATTTACAAGAAAGTCAATTTCAGCTCAATTGACTTAAGTTCTATAGCCATATTTCTTTCCTGGGGAGGTCAAGAGGGTTTCAGTTGCAGAGAGGAAAAACAAATGTGATCTCATCCATTAAAAAAGTGTAACATTGCCCTAACCAGTTTGGCTCAGTAGATAGAGCATTGGCTTGTGAGCTGAAGGGTTTCAGGTTCAATTCTGGTCAAGGACATGTACCTTAATTGTGGACACATTCCCAGTGGCAGGTGTGCAGCAGGCAGCTGATCGATGTTTCTCTCTCATTGATGTTTCTAACTCTCTATCTCTCTCCCTTCCTCTCTCAATAAAACTTTTTTTTTTTAAGGGTAACATTAACAAAATTAAAGCAAGCCATCTCTTAGTGAATTGACTTCTCAAAACAAACCAACACTGTTTCTAAATGACCACAACTCGTAGCTGTTCTAACTCCCTCCTCCATTTACAGTAAAGATAAAAAATAACACCAGGAAATAAACTGGGTATACATATGTCCACAGAAGGGAGGCAGGATGGTTTAACAGCTTCTAATCCCTGCCCTGGCCTCTTAAGAAAGCAAGTAGATTCTCTAGGTCTCCTTTCTCTTTCCTTTAAATGGGGCATGAAAAATGCCTGTCTGGCCATAGCCAGTTTGGCTCAGTGGATAGAGCATCAGCTTGCAGATTGAAGGGTTTTGGGTTTGATTCCAGTCAAGGGCACATGCCCAGGTTGTGGGCTCGATCCCTAGTGTGGGGCTTGCAGGAGGCAGCCAATCAATGATTTTCTCTTACATTGATGTTTCTCTCTCCCTCTTTCTCTGAAATCAATATATGTATATATTCCTGTCTGAAGTATATTATTGGTTGTGAAGGGCAGGAAGAGGAGTGAATGAAGTGTGACTGCTAATGAACATGGGCTTTCTCTTTGGGGATAATGAAATGTTCTGGAATTATAAAGTGGTGAATATACTAAAAACCACTGAATTGTACACTTTATTATTTTAAAAAAATATTTTATTGATTTTTTACAGAGAGGAAGGGAGAGGGATAGAGAGTTAGAAACATCAATGAGAGAGAAACATTGACCAGTTGCCTCCTGCACACCCCCTACGGGGATGTGCCCACAACCAATGTATATGCCCTTGACTGGAATCGAACCTGGGACCTTTCAGTCTGCAGACCAACACTCTATCCACTGAGCTAAACCAGTTTCGGCTGAATTGTACACTTTAAAAAGGGTGAATTTTATGGCATGTGAATTATATCTCATTTTTTAGAGAAAATACATGTACTACTTCACAGGGCTATCACTAGGAGACAGAGATCTTTTAACTGACCACCTAGATTGGTGATTTCCAAATTCACACCACTATATAAATTGGGGAACTTGTTAAAAAATACCTACTTCAAGGCTCTCATTTGAGATCTAAATAAGAATTTGGGGGGACTATGGTATGTGAGTCTGGATTCAATTACAAGTGCCCCAGATGATTCTGATCCACCATTTAGAAAAGAAAAAAAAATACTGATTCCTGGATCCCTCCCCTAGAATGCTCTTACATTGATCTGAACTGTGGGGTGTCTCATGTGCAGTGTAGGATGAAAACCACAACTTAAATAGTAATGTACATTACTATCACTGGGGAAGCTTTACTGACACTTCAAATGCTTGAGCCTAACTCCTAAGATTCTAGTTTAATTTGTCGGGGATTCGGGGCACTGGTATTTTTCAGAATCTCACCAGGTTATTCTCAGGATTGGTCAAGGTTGAGAACCATCAAGTCTTACTGCCTTCCTTACACAGGAGTTGTGAATGAGATATGGATATGGAAGCCATTGCCAATTCATTGTAAAGTGTGGTGAGTGATGATAACAATGATGGAGATATTTCTTGATTGGTTATTATGAGCAATGTACTCTACTAAGCATTTTATGAGCATTATCTCATTTAGTCTTCAACAACATTAACCGGCTGGTGTTATTTTCCCTTTCCCTTGATTATAACATGTCATCAGTTGAAGTCTCTGTATTTAGTAAGTTATTAGAGTGTCTGTTGTTAGTTAGCAAGAGGATATGAAGATTTCATCAGTCCTCCAGTGACTAACATTTGCTTTACTTAGAATAATATAAATGTATAGTTATGTAAGGTGGATATACAAATAAACATGTGTGGTGCCATCAAATGCACACTCATTTGAAGTGATACAGAATGAATGGATAGATATCTTCTATGGAACCTGCTAAGCTCTCCTACATTCACAAATTACATTTATATTCCATTCTGGGCATTAAAGTGGTCCTGGAAGCTGGTGGATTTCTTTAGGTACATCCCTTTTTAGGAATAATAAAATGTGGGGGGAAATGTTTATCTTAGTGTCACAGGAACAGGGCATTACCCCTATTTTCAGATAAGGTTTTAAAATATGAAGTGACTAACTCAAAGTAACATAAATTCATTATGTGGCCAAGCCAGAAATATAGCCCAGCACCCAGATACTAGAATTCTCCAGAAGCTTCTCTACTAACAAACTTCCCACACAATGAGAACAAAGCAGTTTGTCAGAACAATGTCTTGTCAGCTCTGCCTTTAGCCAGCAGGTGGAATTAGGGCTTTCAAGACCTAACCAATCCCTACATTGGACTTGATGTCTTTCAGTGCAATGCGGGAACTAATGTTAAAGTATTTTAAATCAGGTACAATAACTGGAAATTCAGAGTCCAACAAACATAAGTGCATTTATCTTTGAAAACAGTAATAACACCTTTGCCGGTTTGGATAGGGCGTCAGCCTGCGGACTGGGAGGTCCCAGTAGGAGATGTGCAGGAGGCAGCTGATCGATGTTTCTAACTCTCTGTCTCTCTCCCTTCCTCTCTGTAAAAAATCAATAAAATATATATTTTTAAAAAAGAAAACAGTGATTAAAAAATCAACACAATGAAAAGGAGGACAGGTTGAGACTATGCAAATGAGAATGAGAATGGTCAATTGGATCAGTTTTATACTTTGAATATGCCATTGTCAAATTCTCAGCATGACCAAATTTACCTGACCTTGTTTGATTCTTTTCTTTCTTTTAAACTACTATTTAGTTCTAAGAAATTAATGCTGAATATTTAACAATCAGCTCTGAGCTTCTATAGCTCACCAGTGTCGAGCCACTCAGTGATTAATTATGGTCTCAATGGGACACTTTTTTTCTTTCATCTTTGTTGGATTCCTCTGTTTGTTGGATTCCTCTGATGCATTCTTTTTTATTTTAATTTTTCAATTATAGTTTACTTTCAATATCATTTTATATTGGTTTCAGGTGTACAGCCTTGTGGTTAGACAATCGTGTACTTTACAAAGCATTTCCTCTGATAGCTCCAGTACCAAACTGGCACCATACACAGTTACTGAGATATTACTGACTATATTCCTTATGCTGTACTTTATATCCCAATGACTAGTACTTCTTAATATCTTCACCTCTTTAAAAATATGGAATGCTTCACAAATTTTTATGTCATCTTTGAGCAGGGGCCATGCTAATCTCTAGGTCATTTCAGTTTTAGTATGTGTGCTGCTGAAGAGAGCACTGGGACACTTTTATCTTGCTGTAACACGATTGGTGCCTGATTTCCCACTTTTTACTGTACCGAAAAGAAAGGAGGGACAAGCGGTGAAAGGCCAAAATGGGAGGACAAAAATGAACCAAGGGAACCCTTCTCTCGTATTTCTTTATTAACTTGGAATTTTTAGAATATAATCTCCAAGTGTAATGAGGTTCTTTTGTAGAAGCATAAATATAAACATTATTATGCTAATATTTTTTTCTTTCTCCAAATTTGGCTTTATAAAAATAAAGTAGCCTGCAAATCTAGTTTTATGTGCCTTTAGAGGTCCTTTGCAATTTTCCTTTCCACAGCTGTTAAATAGCTTTTCTCTCCAATATTTTTTCCTGCATAATGATTTTTATTAAAGCAAATACAGTAAGCATTTTAAAGTCTTACCAGTTGTGACAATAAAATAATGGAACTTTTAAAAATCCAACCATGTAACTGGAAATAGAGAAAAACTATGCATTTATTTCTTAGGAAATCATACCCTTGTTCTGATGAGGATGCCATTGCTCAAATGCTCTTTTTAAATTGTAGCTCAAGATTATGAGGTTTTGAATGGAAATTAGTTAGATTGCCCTGTAGTGCTTCATATTTCTTAAAAATTAAAAAATAGAGCCCAGCTGATGTGGCTTCATGGTTGAGCATCAACCTATAAACACGGTTTGATTCCTGGACAAGGCACATGCCTGGGTTGTGGGCTTGATCCTCCATAGGGGATGTGCAGGAGGTAGCCAATCAATGATTCTCATCATTGATGTTTCAGTCTCTCCCTTCCTCTCTGAAATCAATAAAAAATTTTTAATTAAAAGTAGAACCTCTGATATAAGGTAAAGAATTTTGAACGAGAAGATCTGGAATTCAAGTCTAGCCTCTGTAACCTACTAGTTTCATAACTCTGCATATCTCTTAACTTTTCTTAACCTCAATTTCCTCCTCTACAATTTGAGAATAATAGTACCTACGTCAGGGGTTGTCCTGAAAATTATATGAAACAAGGCATTGTTATAGCACCTTGTGAAATGAAACACACTGTCCAAATGTAAGTTATTATTGGCCCAGCTTGATGAGAATTGAATGGACGTGGTTATTTCTAAAATTCAGATGTAACCACTGAGAGCATAAATATTCCATCATTGAAAAAGTATTCAAGCCGAAACCGGTTTGGCTCAGTGATAGAGTGTCGGTCTGCGGACTGAAGGGTCCCGGGTTTGATTCCGGTCAAGGGCATGTACATTGGTTGCGGGCATATCCCCGGTAGGGGGATGTGCAAGAGGCAGCTGGTCGATGTTTCTCTCTCATCAACGTTTCTAGCTCTCTATCTTTCTCCCTTCCTCTCTGTAAAAAAATCAATAAAAATATATTTAAAAGAAAGAAAGAAAGAAAAAGTATTCAAAAGAACATGGAAGAGGCCCTGATACCTCGGGTCAGTTCATTGAACCCAAGTGAGAACTCAGCTGGGATCCAGAAAAATGTAGTTTGTATTACAGTCCTCCTTACTCTCTGGTTTTTTAGCATTCTCAGGTCTTCCTAATCCTCTGCCACCTAGCACCCACTCCTTTGGATAAGAGTAGGAACTGCTGACTAAATTAAGGGCATTAGTGGAAATGAAATCTGAAAGAATTCTGGCTGAGCTTTTGACAAGACCATTCTTCTTTCTCTTACACCTACCTAGCAGCTCGGGCCAGCCCGCAATTCTTGTTTTAAATGGCTGAATCTAGGGCTGTTGCTATCCTTGCCATTTTCAGACAGCCTTGACCCAAGGGGCAGAACTACAAATTCCACAGTCGAACATGGGGCATGAGTAGGCTGTTCTGTACAGTCTGAGATTACAAGTGAGAAGTTAAACCCTAGCCCAGCCAAGACAGTCACTCCCACTGCTAAGCAGATCCCAACCTTCCCACCCCCAACCCACTCAGTCACATGAATGAAATATTTAGCCAGGTTACCCCAAGTTTCTTGCTGTAAAACTAATCCTTTGTGGTCTGCTGGAGCAATTACTGAAGTCTGTCATCTGCAATACTCCTTTAAAATCTAAAAGTATTCTTTCTTTTCATTTTGTATGTTAATAAAATAAATAAACAGCAATCACTTAGGTATTCTGATAATGCTTAACCACATCAAGTCTACAAAATAGAATGACAGACATTTTATGGCATTTTGTACCATCTTTTTTTCCCCCTTTAGTATTAAAAGTGTGCTTTGTTTATAAGAAAATAAGTAGGGAGATTGCTTAATGTTCTAAGGGGAAAGGAAAATCTCACTTGTGGTTGTAAAGCTTTCATTTATAGTGATGGGTTATACTGCATCATAACGTTATTAACCAAGATATTACTGTGGGCATCCTCTCAGGATTCCACTGTCTGTCAGTGCAGGGTTTTATAGTGAGTACAAGGAGATTATATAAAGTGCCTTAAAAAAAAAAAAAAAAAAAAAGGCAAACACAAATATAATAAATATTTGAAATAGTTTACAAGATACAACTCTGTTCCAGTGACAGATCAAACATGATGAATAGTCTGACCCAAGATTTTGTATTTGGTTACACACACGTGCACACGCACACGCACACACACACACGCACACACACACGCACACACACACACCACACCCAAACCAGGGATCGTATGTGCCCTGATCGGGAATTGAGCCCACCACTTTTTGATGTATGGGATGTGCTCCAACCAAGTGAGCCACCAGAACAGGTCCCCCCTCAGCTTTTTTCAGGAATTCTTTAAAGTGAAAGAATCATAACATGATTCTTCTATTAGTATTCTGTAGCCATCAACTTAGAAGCTGAATATTTGGCTTTTGAAAGTAAATTATATATTAAAGCAGTAGATCAAATGTTTTCATCTAGCAGTAATCAAAACCTTAGGCCCATTTTGTAAAGCAGTCAACTGTATATTTCCTTATTTACGATTACTGCCTGTAAGCATTTGTAAAACATGTACAATTGTTTATAGTCACTTAGTTCCATCTATTATTAGTTCCTCAAACTCAAACAGAACCTTTGAGGTCTTGGTATTGTTAAAATTGGGAAATATTTAAGGAATGATAAGAATAAACATTCTTTTTTTTCCTTTTAATGGAGACTTAAGAGTCCTTCCCAATGAGTATTTTAAAAATACATATATTTAATTTTAAAAGTAATTCAGGTTCACTTATGAAAAATATAAAATGGAGAGTTAAAAATGAAGAAAAAAGTTAACTGTAGTCCCACCACCAAAAGAACAACTTGACATTTTGTTGTATAAATTTGAGAAATATTATATTTCAAATGAAAACATATTTATTTAGCGCTAAATATAAGCCCAGAACTGTTTTTGGGTGCTGAGTGAAAAAAGAGATGAATGAGGCAAGGACTCAAATATAAAGCATTTGAATAATTGATCAGGAGCTAGTTTGTTGGTAGAAGGGTTAGTTGACATTTGATAGTTTTTCATGTTTTAAATATTTATGGGTTTAAGCCTAATTGAAAACAGTTCTATCCTAGCTATGTCAAAGTATATTACAACCTCATTGAATCTACCACAGCTTCATTTTAATTTACTGTCTTTTGTGTCTTATTCATTTGGTCCTAGTTATAATAAAGAGATTTGATGGTGTCCAGACATGTTTATCAGTTTGAGTTGTTACACTTATTCCTCTAGGGAAACATCCATTTCTCATTGTGTTTTGGGTGTTAGTTCCTTGAGATATCATAGGTGGTATGTAGAGAAATAGATTTCATGGTCAAAAATATTTGGGAAATTATGGATTAAATAATCATACAAAATTTTAAAAATCAATTTTTGATAGGTGATCAACCTAAAATGGAAACTAAAACAATAAAGATTCTAAAAGAAAACAAAGGAAAATATTATTATGATCTTGGGGTAAGCAAATATTTCTTAGCATGACATAAAAAATATTTGACAAATTTGACTTCAATAAAACTAAAAACATTAAGTAAAGTAAAATGGCAATTCACAGGCTGGAAGAAAATATTCACAATTCAATCAGATAAAGTACTCATATCAAAAATATATAAAGAACTCCTATAAATCAATAATAAAAAGATAATTTAAAAAGACAAAACTAAAAAAGATTAGGCAAAAGACTTGAAGGAATACTTCACAAAAGTAGATATATAGATGATCAACAAGTACATGAAAAGGTCCTTAACATCATCAATCATTAAGGAAATGTAAATTAAAACCATACTAAGGAACTACTTCACATAAATAGAAAGATTTAAATACTAAGTATTAGCAAAGATGTGGATCGGATGGAAAACAGTTTGCCACTAAACAGATAATTATTGATAGCAGTATTTCCCTTCCTAGATAGACCTCTCTCTCTCTCTCTCTCTCTCTTTCTCTCTCTCTCTCTCTCTCTCTCTCTCTCACACACACACACACACACACACACACACAGAATTACTTCCCAGACTTATATACATATTAGGAGCCCAGTGCATGATTTGAAATCTAGTGGCGCTGCCCACCCTCAAGTTGGTGGTCTGGCCCTGCCTTCCTCTCCGGCCCTTGAAGCAGCCTCGACCACTGGTGATCAGATCCTCCCCCAACACAGGCGCTCTGAGGCCCCTGCCACCTGCCCTGATCTTGCATGCACAACCTCCTCCTATCCAGTTAACCCATTACTGTGTCCCAGTTAATTAGCATATTTCTCTATTATATATATATATATATATATAATATTAATATAATATATATATTATATTAATATATATATGTATATGTATATGTATATATATATATATATATATATATATATATTGTCCTTTCTTCAGTGAAAATCTTGTGACACCAAGAGGAATGAAAGTATATATCCGTGAAAAGACTGGTATAAGAATGTTCATAGCAACTTTCATTATAATAAGAATGAACTACTGATTTACACAGCAAACACAAACTATGCTGAAGGAAAGAAGCAAGCATAAACTAGTATATACTATATACCATTTATATAAAATA